CAATTTGGTTTCAATCGAACTGCAGTATATTGTTCGTCGTGTTGCTTTGGTGTATGTATGGGTATAAAGACATTGGGTTTCTATGAAATACCAAGAGAGAGAGAGTTGAAACGTTTGTCAATAGTTGATCCAAATTTCCAATCCCGTGCCTGTTCCTTCCTAGAACACTCCGACTAAATTGTGAGTCGTCTTTCTCTATTTCCTCGTTTCATTTCCTCCTTGTCTCTGCCTTCTCTGTCCTCTTTCTGTATGCAATTTATTGTCTTCTCGTGGAGATTTGTATATTTATTGATTAGTTACCTGAGTTGGTTTCTGTGTGATGGGTTTCTGTATCCAAGGGTTTCTGAGTTGATTCTGGAGTTTCCTATCTACTCGTGTGATGGGTTTTGTTCGAACTTGGAACAGTATAAATTCCTGGTCTTAATCCTCTGGTCTTTAGCTCTGGAAATATGATAACTTTTGATTTCTCTATATCTGTTTTCAAGTGTACCGATTCTGTAGTTGCTTTGCAACTTTTAGATGTTTTTTACTTCAGTGTTTTAGAACATTCATTACAGTATTGATTAATACAGCTTCTGTAGTAGATTAATACATTAGTTCCTCGTTGACTTTTAAGACATTGGTTAAAGTATTAGCTTGTGTGGTGGAAATAACACACAAAAGTCAAATTTGGACTATTTTAAACACTAATCTTGGTTTTGTATAATTCTATTTTTTTTTTCAGATTGCGTGTTTTTGGAAGTACGGTTTAGAGATTCAAAACTTGGAGAAATTTCCAACCTTGATTGGCCCGGCCGATCCGTGAGCGATGCTGAGTAGGTTTTCAAGGCGTTGCTATTGTACTTCTGTTCACCGTCCATGGCTGTTTCTAGGATTGGGAAATCCCGGGGACAAATACAAAGGGACTAGACACAATGTAACACATGTTTTAGTTGATAATGTGTCTTAAACAACTCCTATCTGGTTTTCACCGTACTCAAATATTTTACATGTCTGCAGATTGGGTTTGAAATGATTGATGTTTTTGCTGAGTCAGTGGGGATTGAGATGAATCTGGTAAATTTCAAGGCTATAATGGGACAAGGTATGGAGCAAGATGAGTTGTTTTTCCTCTCTCTTTTATGAACAAAAATCTGTGTGAGTTTGATGTTGAATTAAGGGCTTCCAATTTTGTGTTGTCCCTTCCCTTAGGTTTCGTGGGTGATATCCCTGTTATCCTGGCAAAGCCGCAAACCTACATGAACTTGAGTGGTGAATCAGTAATCTTCTCCTCTTGTTCTGAATATGACATTTTAAAAGTTTGTGTAGATTTTAGCATGTAGGCGTATGAAATTGTGAGATCCAGGCTGTGTGAAATAGTTGATGTATCTAAATAATTCATGAGGCTTAGATATTGATCGCTTTTACTATATATGTTCTCGTTCATTATTTCCATGTTTTAGCCATTGATATTTAAACTAAGGTCATGGTTTCTCTGTTTGTTTAAAAGACATGTAAGAGAAGCTTCCTGATTAATAGTTTTGATTATATCAATATTAGAGTGTTTGAAGAGATGTGTGACAATAGAAATTTATTGTTTGCCAAGTTTCGATTCTCAGATTGTTCCAATTAAATTAGATGTATTTACCTATTTATATCAGTAATGTGGCTTTCACTTTGTAGCTTCATAGCTTTGGTTGATTGTGTTAGTAACTGCGCCTCTCCTTAAATTGATCAGAGTGGAGCTCTTGCGGCTTATTACAAATTACCTCTCAATCGTGTGCTTGTGGTAATCCTATTACTGTTTCTGGCTCAAGGCCTAACCATCCTTACAACTTGTGACGCCAGAAGACACGTGATTCCATTGTTACTCTTGTATTTGGTGATGTAGGTGCATGATGACACGCAACTGCCATGTGGTGTTCTTCGTCTTCAAGAAAAAGGAGGCCATGGATGTCACAACGGGTAATGGATATCCCTTTTTTTTACTAGGCTGCGTTCATGTGTAAGACAGAGTTCATCAGTTACGTTAACGAGTTTTCCCTCGTTCTCACTAGACAATTTATGTCACATGTTTCAGACCATAGTATCATAATATGTGAATCTTATATCGAAAGCTCTTAAGTTTATACTTATTTTGTGTATCATTGACATTGGTTTAAATGATAGTGGTATTGTTCATGTGTGTTCTTCTCAGGTTGAAAAGCGTAATGCACCATTTCCGAGGCAACAGGGAATTTGCAAGGCTACGAATCGGTTAGTTTGGACCTCTATCGCACATATCATTTCCTTGAAGATCTTTGGTTCTAAATCGAGATATTCTTATTACTATTATACAATAATGGCCAGGAATCGGGAAGCCTCCGGGACAAATGGACCCAAAGGCATTCTTATTGCAGAAGTTCAGCATGCCAACTCGTGAACGGGTAAGCATTTATTGACATTGAAACATTGATGCGGCTTATATCAAACACTAGAAAATGGATTTATGGCCTCTCTGTGTGTGTTTTCTTGGAAAGATGGATGGAGCTTTAGCAGAAGGGGTGGATGCTTTGAAGCTGGTCTTGTCTAAAGACTTTGGAGAAAGCTGGAGACTATTCAATGTGGAACAGAAGTACAAACACTTAAGACAACACACAATTTTGGCAGCTTGACTAAATGGTCTCATCAGATCATGTTCATCAAGATGGGTTTGAAAAAGGGAATGCCTTTTTCGTTTTTTTATGGATAACAGATAAGAAAGACTGACATCTAATGGACCATTTACTTGTGAAGAAGTGTTCTATGCATCTAGTTCTTAAGGTTTGTGACACTTTTAAAATTATGTTTTGATTTCTGTTATTGGTTGGTTTTTTGTTCTAACCTCAACTATATTTTTCTACTTTTCAGAAATTTGAAGAAGAAAATGTTACTGTTCAGCATCTTGTGAAGAAGTGTT